GAAGCAAACTGATAAACTTAATGTGATGCATAAACAATAAACAAATATGATGCATATTTGTCAAACATACATAAATGAAACGGGTCAGATTTCTGCACTCAAAAAAAAAAAACATGCATAATTTATTATTAACTATTTGCATCTATTTGGTTTTATTGAAATAATCACAGTTTCAAAATGCATTTATTCAAATCTGCATAAATCTGTTCATTGTGACAATTACATTTATTCAGTTATAAAACATGATTAAAATATGGCTAGCTGTGGATTTATGCATGACTGACAAATATGCATCACATTAAGTTATTATTAGTTTATGTTAAACTGTATCCAAATGCATGGAAATTTTAAATGCAATTCAAATATGTAAATCTTCAATTTAAAATGATGTTTTTTGAGCATTTCAGGAATAGGACTAACTATTAAAAGAAGCAACATGTTTTGCTAGACAACATCAGTTTATTACAGAATATGATGCATTTTGGAAGGTGAAGAAGTCTTGTATTTTCACTTAATCGGCAGTAAAACACCACAAACACACGATTGCTGTCTGAATCGGAGCCAGATTATTATGATTTCTCAGCTCTCAGCCTATTCTCTCATGCATGACATTATTTGATGCCTAACCCTGATTTGAAGATCAGAATTATGGCCAGTGAAAATACAAACATGAGCCTGGCATTTTCTGCTTTACTGCATCCGAACAGCCACAGAAAATCTCAGATTTTGAGAAAACACAAGCTTATTTTGTAAAATTAAATTGAGTATTTGAACATTTTCCCACTCCGTTGCAGATTGTAAATCAAACGATACATTATGAATAATTTTTGTCATTGAAATCAAAACTTTTGACATGTTAAGTGCATTAAAGTTGATACATAGCCAATAATTAGAAAAATCTTGTCTGAAGTCTGTCTGAAGCATTACGTTTGGCAGCTAATATCTGGCCGTGAGACACTGCACATAAATGAATGAGACTGCAGGCTGGTTAATGGACTTCTAATTTCACCGTGGGCTCGTCGCTGTGAATTTAGATTGCATTTCAAGCATTGTATAATGACAAAAAAATCTCTAAATCTCATCTTCTACTCCGAGATCGAACCTGTTTCCAACAAAATAAAAATAAAGGTAATTGCAATGTTTTAATCTCACAATTCAGACTAAGAATTGCGAGAAAAAAATTGAGGAAAAAAAAAAAAGAGAGACATAACTGTGAGATATAAATTTAGAATTCTTTGTTCCCTACAATTGACTTTTTTTTTTTTCATCAGAATTCTGAGTTTACATCTCGCAGTTGTTTCTTTTTTGTTGTTACTTTGTTTCCAGCACAGAATAAACATTTTTTAAAAAGGTAACTGCAACATTTTAACACAATTCAGGCATTTTTTCTAAGAACTACAAGATATAAATTGTGAATTCTGAGGGAAAAAAAGTCATAATTTCGAGATTCTGATTTTTTTTTCAATATTTTTTTTCAAACAAAAAACTTTAAATAAAAAAGGTAATTGCGACTTGTTCTCACAATTATGACTTTCAATTGCAAGTTTATATTTCACAATTTTTTTTTGTTTGTTTCCAGCAGAATAAAAAAAATTTTAAATGGTAACTGCAACTTTTTAACTCACAATTCAATTTTTGATAAGAATTGCAAGATATAAATTCTGAGAAAAAAAAAGTCAATTGCGAGATAAATTCAGAAATCTGATTTTTTATTTTTTATTTTTAAGTAAACCATATAGAACTTTAAATAAAAAAGGTAATATCGACTTTTTATCTCAAAATTCTGACTATCAATTGCAAGTTTATATTTCACATTTTTAAATTTTTTTGCACCACAGAATTTAAAAAAAATGTAAAAGTGTAATTGTGACTTTTTACCTCACAATTCTGACCTTTTTCTCCTAATTGCACTTATACTCAAAATTCTGACGTTTTTCTCAATTCTATTTGTTGTTTTGTTTTCCGCCACAGAATAAAACAAAAAGTAATTGCAATTTTTTTCAAAGATTTTTTCTCCTAATTGCGAGTTTATATCTCACAGTTTTGACTTTTCTTCTCAGAAGTGTGAGATGGTCACAATTACCTTCATGTTTTTATCCCGTGGAAGAAACACGTTTCCACTCTAACCAGACTGTGCTTCATTCATTTCTGACACGCATGAAAGCATGTCTTTTGGGTTGTTGCTAAACTGAAATGACATTCAGGACAGCATCATTATATAAAGCAGCTGTCTGTATGACGTGCACAATCAAAAGAGCCAGTGTGCAAAGATAACAGCTTGTACGATGTGGGCTCAGTAAATGGCCATCCGTGTGAAGTAACAGTAACGCAGCTCATGCAGACTCACGTGTGTCTGTCAGCGAGCCAGAAGCTTCATCTCCTCTCACCGCCTGAAGATCATCTTCTCGTGTCAAATCTTGACTGATTTTGATCAAGTAAAGGTCAGAATAACTGCAGTAATATCTCCAGATGAACTCTTACTGGACTGAAGCAGCTCAGCTTTACTTGATTCTCCATCAATCATGTTTTAGAGTCTCAAATCTGATCCTCAGGATCTTTTGAGGAGCGTTTGTTTCCAGATGCTTTACTTTCACTGTTCCTCAGCGGAGGAATGATCTTCACAAGCCTCCAGAACATCTCACATCTTCTGAGGAGCCTTTATTTCTTCAGCCCTCAATCACTGCATTATATGTGTGGATCATTTCAGTCTCATCTTACTGAGACATATTACTGGAGATATAGAGTGATATTTAGATCATTTTATGTCAGTATCTGCTGTACTGTTATAAAGATCTCACTGATTTACATTACAAGCAGCAGAATTTCATCAGATTAATATCAGCATCTGCAGCAAATTCATGTTTTTGCTCAGTTTGAGTCTCTGAATACAACTGGGCTGTTTTTTCTTTCATATTCTCACTGTATCAGACTGTATGAGCCATAAATGATGCATCAGATATAAAACTCAAAATACACATATGCAACTTGATTTAAAAAAAAATATTTTGTCTAAAGGTTCAATAGACTTTTATTTGAAAAAAATATATTTTTTGTGATTATTATTTCATGTCAGGCTTTACAGGGTTAAAGGGTTTGTTGTAACATGATGCAGTATGAACTGTTATAAAAATGATTACAGTTATCAATGATTTTACTAAAAATCCCACAGAGAAACAATAATGGAAATATCGTCATACCTGCAGACTCCAGAACGGCGAAACACCACCAATGTCTATATGAACAGCCTAAACTGGACAAATTACAGCTCAAATACTACAAGTTTGGACAAAATCAAAAGTTTATAAAAAGATACAACTTCATATTTGCGCCTAATAAATGAATGTGTAATACGGGAAAGTAGAAATACAGCGGTTACCCTGTACATAAAGCAGCGCTGCACTTATAAACATCATACAGAAGTCAGATGAAAAGAAAAGAAATATGAAGAAAGTCACAGTTGATTATTTATCATCTTTATTTTTTTAAACAAAAAACAGAATAGCAAGTAAACTCTGAATTTAAACTCTGAATTAAAAAAAAAAAAAAGGTAAAAATGGCAAGATGTGAAAAATTTAAAAAAAATTTTGCAAGATGTAAATTCTGAATTCTGAGGAAAAAAATTGCAAGATGTAAACTCAAAAATAAATAAATAATAAAAATTGCAAGATGTAAACTCATAATTCTGAGGGGGAAAAAATAAATAAAAATTGCAAGACTTAAACTCAAAAAATAAAATAAATAAAAATTGCAAGATGTAAACTCAAAAATAAATAAATAAATAAAAACAAATTGCATGATGTAAACTAAAAAAAATAAATAAAAATTGCAAGACAAACTAAAAAAAAAATTAAAAAAAATTGCAAAAACTCAAAAAAATTAAAAAATAATTGCAAGATGTAAACTAAAAAATAAATAAAAATTGCAAGATGTAAACTCAAAAAAAATTAGCAAGATGTAAACTAAAAAAAAATAAATAAATAAACTGCAAGATGTAAACTCATAATTCTGAGGGGAAAAAATAAACAAAAATTGCGTGATGTAAACTAAAAAACCTAAAATTGCAAGATGTAAACTCAAAAAATAAATAAAAATTGCAAGATGTAAACTCAAAATTGAGGGATACATTTTTTTTTACATTTGCAATATGTACACACTTAATTCTGAAAAAAATTAAATGAATAAATTCCCAGAATTCTGAGAAAAATTGTGAGACACTCAGATTTCTGAGAAAACAGGTAAAAATTGCAAGATGTATTCTGAAAAGACGGAGTCGTGAGATAAGAAGTCGTAATTACCTTGTTTAAATTCTGTGATGGAAATGAGCTTGCAGAGGTCTGCCTGTGGATGTCGAGGTCAGTCTGGATCACTCGATGAATGTAATCCACCATCAGCTGGAAATAACCTGCTAAGAGGATTGAGACATTCACAGCAACCACACACACACAAGCCACAAGAGCCTCCATTAACACAAAAGAAGGACACGGTGGACGGTTCGAGTCTGGCATTTGTGAAGCGACGGGGTCAGCGAGTGCTTAAAACATTCACCTCGAGACGCCAGAAAGACCTTCTCCCACTGAATGAATGAATAGCTACTAACTGAACCGCTTTAGAACGAACCTTAATGCAAGCGAATCTTTCTTAAAGGCACAGAGTCAGCAAATACAAGAGTAGAAATACTGACTAACAGATGATTTTTGTTATCACTTACGGCTTTGACAAACAAGTCTCTTTGGATAAAAACATCTTCTAAATGCATAAATGAAAAAGTAAGTTACAGATATAAAGAATATGCATTTAGCAGTTTGCATTCAAGCATTCATCTGTATTCTAGAACTTCACATACTGAATTAAAATCAATGCACACGTCAGACACTTTGATGTGTTAATCTCTAAAAAATCATTCAGATATAAACACAGATTACATCAGAGATGGACACAAAGATTCTTTAATTACAAAAGCCAATGAAACCGCCGCTCAGAGCACAACATACTGCAACATCCGAGCGCGCGAACGACGTAAATAAAGAAAACCACAGATGAAAAGATCCAGATGAAAGCGAAACTGCTCTTGAATGTATTCAGCACTCAGATCAGGTCAGCCACTGAAAAACAAGAGTTTGTGAGTCAATCATCTGAAACGGTGTCTCGGGAAATCAGACGAGTCTATAAAGGCTTGATATTTCAACACAAGCTGAAGAGATGCACATGTATTTGACCCGTGCTCCTGCTCACCGTTCATGGGCATCTCATCGATCTGTGTGGAATAGTACTGCTCAATATCACGCAGGATACGGATGTCGTCGTTCTTCACGAAGTTGATGGCCACGCCCTTCCTGCCGTAACGACCCGATCGACCAATCCTGACGAGAGAAACACCGTCATTCACATTCAGACAAAACCAGACTCACGTCACGTCTGATTCCAGCCTTTTAGTATCACTCATATTAGTGTGCATTATCAGACTTTTTTTCCCCCATTTAATTTAGTCTTAGTCCTGTCAAATGTACTTTTTAGTTATCATATTTAGTCAACCTTGTTCTGTTTTGTTTAGTCGACTAAATGGCTGAGTCTTAGTCTTCGTCATGCTGTATGACGGTTAAACTGATAAAAAACCATTATTTTGCTCAAAATTATAATCGTTTTGAGAAATGTATTTTTATATTTCATTCACCAATAAGTAGGGATGTAACGATTCACTCAAGTCACGATTCGATTCACGATATTTTTTTACAAAATGAGATTTAAAGGAACACTCCACTATTTTTGAAAATAGGCTTATTTTCCGACTCCCCTAGAGTTAAACAGTAGAGTTTTACCGTTTTCGAATCCATTCAGCCGATCTCCGGGTCTGGCGGTAGCACTTACAGCTTAGCTTAGCATAGTTCATTGAATCTGATTAGACCGTTAGCATCTCGCTCAAAAATGACCAAAGAGTTTCTATATTTTTCCTATTTAAAACTTGACTCTTCTGTAGCTACATCGTGTACTAAGACCGACGGAAAATGAAAAGTTGTGATTTTCTAGGCCGATACGGCTAGGAACTATACTCTCATTCCGGCGTAATAATCCAGGAGCTTTGCTGCCGTACCATGTGTGCAGCAGGCGCAATGATATTACACAGCGCCTCAAAATAGACTAACTTCCGTCAACATAACCACCAGCTTGCTTACATAAACAATAATGAAGTTCTTTTATAATGAGAGTACATTAAAAGCTTTGAAAATAAGAATAACTATAAATCAATCACTTTTTTTTCTCCCCAGAGAGATGCATTATTAACCTTAACATTTTATTTGTGGATTTAAACTTAATAGATGGTCTAAAGCAAGAGTTCTGAAAATCTTTTAGAGCTCCTTGTATTTAAATTTTCATAATCTGTTTGAAAAAAATATATATTACACACTAATGAATTTACAAGTGTCATGTTTGCGATTTTTATTCATGTAAGCTACAGCTTCTGACCTTAAAATCAAAACGTACTCGTGATTGTATGATATAAATTACTGCTTTATTTAATCAGAAACACAATCTTAATGTTATTTATTATTTTACTTTTATTTTATTACAAGTAGGCCAACAAGACGTCATCGTCTCGTTTCAGTCATGAGAAAAAAGCTCATCAACGAACATTTTTCGTCAGTTTTCATTAATGAATTGATAAACTATTATTGTTTTTATTAATAGTTTGAAATCATTGTTATATTTGCCATTTTTTATTTTAATTGAAGCTTTAGTCATTTGTTTGTCATTTTTGTTTTTATTTTTAATGTCTATACAGTCTTAATTTTTTAAATTTTATTTTATTATATAAAGTTAAACTAAAAGAAAATGAAAAATGCTGCCTTGTCAACTAGCTAAAATTAAAAAAAAATTTTTTTTTTTAAATATTTCCATTTTTATTTTATCTGAAGTTTTAGTAATTGCTTTTTGTCATTTTTTTTTATTTTTAATGTCTATACAGCCTAAATAAATTTTTCATTTTTTAAATTGTATTTTATTATATAAAGGTACAATGTTTAAGCAATGTTACTTTCAAGTAACAATGTTTTAATGGTCTTAATTTTAGTTAACGATAATAACTCTGGTCTAGATGTTTGTAGTGTGGAGAGTTAGATTCAGTTGTGCTTAAAAATCTCATTAAAATCAGATTTCTGGTTCTCTTCTTCAGTCTGAACTGCGAGATCAGATCCAAGCGGGGTTTTTCTCATCAGACACGCACTATATGTGAACGTAACATCATACACAACGAGCCTGAGGGTGGTGTGTTGTACCTGTGGATGTACAGCTCTCTGTTGTTGGGGAGATCGTAGTTAATGATGAGAGAGACTTGAGGCACATCCAGACCTCTGGCCCAAACGTCTGTGGAGATCAGCACTCGACTACACAAGACAAACACAAGATCACAAACACTTAAAGGGGTCATATGATGCGATTTCAAGTTTTCCTTTCTCTTTGGAGTGTTACAAGCTGATTGTGCATAGATAAGATCCCTGAAGTTATGAGAGATATTCATAACCAAAGAGATATTCTTTATCAAAGTTAAGACTCTGCCAGCTGTTATAAATTCACTGTAAACCACGGCTTCACGGGGCTTATTGCTTTAGTTAACCATACTGGCCCATCTCTACCAGATATGCTGGATGTCTAGTTGGCAAACATTTCTAGCAGTTGCTAGCGTGGTTCACTGTGGCGTGACTGACCTTGCGTTTGGTGTTGCAGAAGATGACGGCATGTGTGATGGTCAGCGTGTCGTAAAGGTCACACAGCGTGTCGAACTTCCACTCCTCTCGCTCTACAGCCACGAAAAACTGCTTAATACCCTCCAGCGTCAATTCATCACTGCACACAAACAGAAACACTTGAATTCAACAGCTTCATCCAGAAGCTTACACGGAGCAAAAACATGAATTTGGTGCAGCTGCTGATATTAATATGATGAAATTCTGATGCTTGTAATGTCAAAATCAGTGAGATCTTTATAACAGTAGAGCAGATACTGACATAAAATGCTATAAATATCAGTCGTGGCTCTATATCTCCAATAATATGTCTCAGTAAGATGTGATTCGAATACTGTTTTTATTTTCCGAATAATAATTACTAGGGATGCCTTGATCGATCGGTATCGGCCGATAATCACATTTTATGACTCGATCGGTACTCACTAACTTGGTCGATCTCAGGAACCGATCGCAATTTGATGCCGCTCTAATGCTTGTGTTTATACCGGCCAGCCGCGGCACGTTTCTGAAGCGGCTCTCCGCGCTGCTTGGCTAAAAATAGTCTTTTGTAAGTTGTCACAGCGTGGAGGACGAAACAAAACCCCGTCGGAGCCGTAAGGGATAACGGTAACATAACACGCTGACCGTGGGCTGCTTTTAAATGAACGTTTATTTATAAAACAAAATATCTTCTTTGGCCATATTAGCCTACTCAATAGCATTA